TCCACTTCGTCCATACTGGCTCTGGGGTCCACCCGACCTATCCAATGGGCTCTTTGGGGGGGGGGTAAAACGGCCTGGCCGTGAAGCTGACCACTCACCTCCAGCTAGTGCCGAAGTCAAGAAAACGTGGATCTATACATTCACTCCCCCGTACGCCTTCATGACGTAGTGCTTAATTAGTTAAGCACGGGAACTTTACCTTTTACCTAAAAGAAGTCACTAGGACATGTTTCGACCGACGCGGTGATCATCAGATATTAAAAGTTGTAGCTGTGACCACTTCGGTCGAAACACTACTACTAAAAAAACAGTAGTAACCCTACTACTACTACTACTACTACTACTACTACTACTGCTACTGCTACTGCTACTGCCGCCGCCTCCGGCTCTTATTTTTTTACTTCTCACTTTGATCATTCAACTACGATCATGACATATATCTACACTCCCTCCCGTGTGATGCTGAACTAGTCCACAGCCAAGTCCCAGCTGCTTGTTAAAATGCAGGTCATCACTTCAATTAGCTCTCTCCCCCAAAACAGACAAAGGCTTCCACGTCTTACATATTCATGTGTTTACGTCATGAAAATCAAATTCCATTAATAATAAAATGGACCTAACTTTCTGTTATACTAAACAGAATTATTTAAATATTGGCTTCAGTATCAGCGGAGAAGCCGATTTTAAATGAATATTCTTATAAGAAATGTACATCGTAAGAATGTATTAAAACCTGCAGTGCTGGCTGCGCTGAAGCCAATTCTCGGATTCTGAGGTCACGTTTTTTTAATATGCATAGTATGTAATTTGTGTCACTGTGAAACGTTGCATCTTATTGTGTGGAAAGCAGGGCAACACGAAGTTAACAGGAATATAATTGCGTGTACTGAAGAAGGCTGTAAAATGGCAGTTAGGGTATTACATAACTACGAACTCCATGGTTTGCACATGTTACCTTACATTGTTAGGGTACTGACATCTTGATGACTACGGTGGGCAGGTCATTCAGCTTGGTTAAGGGAGGTGACCGTGAGGACAGTGAACTCTGGAAGACTACAATGGGCTGGCCATGTAGCACATACGAGGGAGAACAAATGCACATATGGTTTTAGTATAAGAACCTCTTGGAGAATGGCCACATGGAAGAAGAAGAAGAAGAAGAAGAGTGAGGGTTTAGCATAGCATTATGGTTATTCTCGGGGAAGACTTAAATAGGCGGAAATAGTTTCGAGAAGGCTAGACATTATGACAAATGTTCACCCACTGAGTGACTCACCTGGGTCAGATGTTCGGATGATACTGCCGGGCTACTTAATTCTGTAAGCCTTCATAAGATTATAAATTTTAATACGTATGTATTTCTAATTTTTAAGATCAAAATACTCTTGACACTGAAAGAAACTTGTAAGTATCGCCTGCAATGATAAGATGTACATTACAGCGTTCGGTATATTAATTAACGAAATTATGCTGTCCCAATATGAGCGCACGAATATGTACGAGGTAGTGGCGTTTACCGTATACAAACATTCTCATATACGCACTGCGTACACAGCACTTTCTCATACATCCTACGTATTACGAAGAATGCGCGAAAATGTATTGTAATGATAAAGGAATGGATCTCGACATTTTGACGGATTTACAAGTTTTCAGCACGATTCAGTTCGAACAAGTGGGTTTTGGAATGCCGCCTGTCGGTCTCTGTGCATATATGTATTGATGCGCGCCTCGCTGGCGCCTGTACGGTCCAACGGATTTTATTAATGTTCTGTATCCAGGAGCTTATCCGTCATAGGTCGGTCCAACTCCAAAAACAGAGGCTCTTCACATTGGTCGCAGGACACCAAATGGTCATTTTTCTCAAATGGCTGTATGATTTGATCCCACACATTTCCTGAGCCAGCATCTCTAAATAATACTGTAGAAGTGGCGTCTTGAGGAAAATAACTTTGCCCGCATTAGGGTTCAAAACAGGGAAATCTCCTCTGTCGAAACCGGCTTTACTGGTAGGACGGGCTGGATTATGGTTCAGAATTTAGCGACGAGCAGTGTTCTACCAAGCAGCAGTCGATTTCGTCACAATGGTAACGTGATCAAGGTCAGTCAATGATAGATGAGGAAGTGGTGCAGTGTATTTGCACCACCATTTTAAGACAGTTGAAGGCCTCGCTGGCTTCCCATCGCGGCGGCCCGGGTTCGATCCCGGGTCTGGTCAAGTGGGATTTGTGGTGGACAAATTGGCGCTGGGGCATTTTTTCTCCGAGTACTTCGGTTTCCCCTGCCAATTTTCATTCCACGTTAGTCCCACCCCACTAGCATTAAAATAAAAAAGTTAAGACAGTTGAGCTGATGGACGATGGACATAACGTTATTCTGATATCTGTGGAAATTTGAGCTGATAGGAACATGAGTACAAAGTTGATAGTGTTCATGAAGAAATTGTATGAACAATTAACTGCGGCTTTTATTTAACCGGGGGTTAGTGGGGAAACTGATATAGGAGGCAAAGTTATAGCTATAATGGGGGACAGAACAGATCCATAGAAAATTTTGGCCGGTTACTTTGACGACATTATGGTAAGCCTTACGGCTAGACTAACTGTATCTATGGCTCTACAGTCCCTGTGGTGGACCTTGGGCGCTTTCTCAGTTTCTTAACCCATACACAATCGGCAGAACTCCTAGGTTGGGGGATCAGCCCATCGCTAGGCTGCTATCTACACACAAAACACAAACACGCACAGAAATCCATGTCTCGAGTGAGATTCGAACCCACGTTCCCAGTGTTTGAGCGGGCGAAAACGATTCATGTCTTTGACCTCGCTGCTACTGTGATCGGCCCTAGGGATTGACCCGGGCTTGTGAAAATGGACGGATGGACGGACGGACGAATTTGGCTTAGGATTGGAGATTCTCACAATGAAGGTTATGAAGAGTTCTGCCTTCTGGGGTGTAACACCGTGTAGCCGTGAGACGTACCGCCTCTGTCTTCAGGATTGAAGAGTAAGTGAAAGAAGAAACTAGTATGAAGGAGGAAACAAGCAGAGACGCTCTGAATGCTTTGTGCTCGATGCTGGTTTCTCGTTTGGCTTACTGTTACACCCTGAAGAAGGAGGCGACGTTTTACTCTGAAGCTTCGGTTGCCCTTCAACGACCCGCACGGCGATTATGTATGCCGGATTTAACTCTATAATAATATTGTACATTGGTGGGTTGTTATGAACTCTGTCGTTAATCTTCCGATCCGGTACAAACTGGGATTTTTTGTGTTAGCTTAGTCACTGTTAACTTTCCCAGTTTGACTCTGTGCCATGACATTACTTAATTTTTTTTTATTTCCCCAATTTATTATACAATCTATCCAGCTATTATGGATAATAAGTACTAGTTATGATGAGTATAAATATAAATGTAATTTAACATGAAGAACGTGTTCCAATGAACTCGACATTACTTAATAGGAGTAAGAATTCAGTGAATTTAGAGCACATGAACTTGACCTGAGATGACAGCGCAAGCCGTTTCTTTATGAATATGACTGTTCAAAGTCCCTTTATGTATGATAGCAGAGGGTTTCGGATCACTGACTTGCATGTGGTCGCTGTCTGTGTCTCTCCGTCCATTATGAACTGTGTTTGTTTCACTTGTTACTAGGATGTACCACAACTTCTGCTTTTCATAGACCCCTCTAATTCAATTGCATTGGGTTGCATATTTTGTTTCCACATCTCGTCCGTTGAGTTTGGTTTAGTGGAGTACAGTAGAGGCGGAATGGAAACGTAGGCTGTTTAGACGTCTTCTGTCTGGTGAAATGTAGAGGGGCATGCACTGTCTTCGCTCGCTTGGAAACCGGGATCGTGGGTTTGAATCACACTCATGGCATGGATGGTATGTATATATGTATTATGGAAGGGGGTGGGTTTCCCCATGCACTTAAACAGTTATTGGGTCCATTGTGCGTCCCCATGTTAATTTATACTGTCGCCATACCCTACCCGTAACGGTGCGTGCCATCAGCCCCCGTAGAGCCAACGGGGTCGGCCCCCGGTACCTTGATGCTTCCCCCATCCACCAGAGGCATTGGAGACTACTTGGGCGTGAAAGGGCCTGTAATTTAGCTCAGAGGTCTCCTAAAGACATGTGGTTCTTTTGCGTGCCGTAAATCTATGACACGGGACACACGGCTTAAAGTCCCTCCCGGAGGACTTGTTCCCTGAATTTTTCCGCCCGTAAAAATTCCACGACCTCCGCCGGGTTTGAACCCGCGTACCTTGAGTCATGAGGTGGGAACGTTGCCCCTAGACTACGGAGGCCGCTTGGCAAGGATGGTTGGTTTGTGTGTATGCGTTTTTCTATGTTTGTGTACAGGTAGAGGCCTTGCGACGAGCTGATCACCCGCCCAAGGAGTCCTACCGAATGTGTAAGGTCTAGAAAATCCGAAGTGAACGGAGAAGTTTATTGAGGTAGGCCTAGGCCCACTGGGGCTGTAGTNAAGAAGGGAACACACATCACAAGACGCGGTTTACACAGAAAATAAGAAAAACGACCCCGTAGTGAACGAACCACATGCAAGTTTTAATTAAGACAAATAAGATGAATTATCTTAACAAGTTTTAGCGAGTGTAAATTTATCATAATTGACAAATACGGACTTTTTAAATACTTTTTAAATGGTGTTGTGGAAATATATGAGGGCAGGCAATGCAATAGATTAGCGTAATTGGGACACCTGATGATGGCACCTATGTTGCCGAAACATGTTGTGAAGTGACAGGTGAAATTGGGTGCACTACAAGACGGCCACTGTATACAAATAATGGATGAAAATCATTGCAACAGGACGCTACAATGCAACACTACACGAGTATATGTACGTGTTGTGTATAGAAGAGCTTCTTCGTGTTGTACCCAGTTTGATGTGACATACGAGTACATTCCAGACATTCAGAATGTCCAGCAGAATATTTGAACTTACTTGTATTTTCTTTTCTTTTCAGGAGACTGGCAACATATTGAATTTTTGTGAAGTGGGGTTGAAAATCTCGGGGGTTGCCCCAATAAGCAGTCAGGCGGCCATACACTTCCCTAACACATCGCTTACCTCAGTTTCCATGGCGACCACTGAACGACATACAGTCGCGTTTCTGGGTACAGCCAACGGCAGTCTCAAAAAGGTGAGTTTGAATATGTTTCGTAATGCTCCTCACATTACAGTGCGTTAGCCGCTGGAGTTAATGGGCTATTTTAACCTTACTTATCATCAGATGAGATGTGAGGGAGGTCATGAATGAGGAGTGGTGATGAATGGAGCCATAGCACCTCGGAGGTCTGTAGAGGAATTCACGTATCATACTTAGACTAGAGTTGACACTGAATGGGACCAGAACCCTGTATCTCTCTTGTATGTAACAGTGCTACAATAATGAACGGGTATATTCAGTTTCAGCAACGTAAGCTCTGACATAGCCTTATATCAACTTCAGCTGACGTGTTTTACATGTTATGTCCTCATTAAACCTTTTCATTCTTTTGCCCCAGGCGAAGTTCGAACTGATCATGTAGCGAATGGTGCCGTCTGCACTGTTCCATTATTAAATCGTGGGATATATTTATTTTCTTCCTGATGATATTTTTGAAGGCTCACCGGAAATCAGTACGATGAGCCCGGAGGAGAACTCGGAGCATGGACAGTGCAGTAGTCCATAAGGATGGCGAGGTCAGCAAGATGATTAGGACTTTTCGAAGATGCGAAATTTCAGGACCATGAAACTTAACCCAAACACCGTTTAGAAACCGAGCCTTTAGAGAATAGAAAGCGTACTACTATATCACAAAGACCATCCTGTTAATGCTGGGTAGAGAGATACTTGCTGTTTATGCCGCACAACTTACGTAGCCCAGAAGTATCGAGTACGTTCCTTGGGCAAAACGTAGAACTCCCCCCCCCCCCCCTGTGCAGAAGCAGGTTGGAGCTATGCATATAGTTACCGGTCTACTGCGGCCTTACGTGGGGCCGTGTTATAGCTCAGGCGGTTAGTCGCCGGCTTGACACCACGGCGGCCAGGGTTCGAGCCCAGGCCAGGCCATGTGGGATTTGTGGTGAACATAGTGATACCGCGGTATGTTTTCTCGGAGTACTTCGGTTTCCGCGGGCAATTCTCATTCCACCGACTACTCCAGACTTATCATCTACGTCCGTAGCTGGTACAACAGGCCAGTTAGTGGCCCACGTACCAGGTGGACTCAGTCTCACCTCACCCCAAGAAACTAAGGGCGAATACTAGTCTTGCGTGGTGTGACTACAAAAAGTTCGCATGGACGCCGTATTGGCTTTATTGGTGGCAAGAGATTTGAAAACTGTGAAGTTGGTTTGTGACATTCGGTGGAGAGGGTAAAAGGAATGAAGTCAGTCCCATGTAAGATTTGGCCAGTCGGTCCAACGTTGTAAGCATATGTATCTCATTTGGCAACCAGAGTGGAGGAAAGGCGCCTCCCGTTCACTGGTGCAGGGACCGACGGTTGAGTCGTGCTCAGCCCTCGCGGGCGGTGTATTCTGTGCCACAAATAAGTCGCTTATTGTAATGTCGCAGAGCCGTGGAGCTCGTGATCCTTTACCACGTGTGCTGTACACGACTAGTTGCACAGCTGTTTTCTCTTGTGCCCTTCGAGGGACTTGCACAGTCATTTGAATTATCTGCATCTAATAAGGATAGGGCCAGTTCTGGTCTACATCGTTCATGAACGTCTGCTATGGATGGCATGAACACTGCAGTAGGCGATACTGGAATTTATTGGCAGCTAAGCAAGGCTGACACTGTATTGCAGTATAACTGCAAGGTACAGAGCTTTCTTTGAAAAGTTGTTAGTGAGCTGTTGAAAGGATCCGTGCTTTTAACAAGACCGAAAACCGAAGTTCAGTTACCATCTTCACAGGAGCATATCATGGGAACCAGTCCTGAGCCTGTAAATTCCAGTCCATACCCTCACAGCTTATTAATTTAAGATTATTTATAGCCTACTTTCCTGAACTAGGCTTATGTGATCTCCATCATATCTACGTGTCTGTGTACCCCCGTATGAAATTCTGAATGCCTGAACTTGGCATGTCTATCGTGACATCTGAGCGGCTTACTTCACAAATCGCTACCGTCCGTCTGTAACTGCATCTGTATCCCTCCTATCCTTGCTAGGAAAGGACTTGGTAAAGTGTAGAACTCCTTTCGTTGCTACGCAACAGCTCGGTAAAAACGTTGCTGCTGCAACGAATTGTTGTCGTTATTTATGCGATCCGTGTCATATCGAAGGAAAGTAGTCAGTTAGTTCTTCCCAGAACTTTTGGTTAGTATTACTTTTCTATCTACATCCAAATGTTTCAAGATGTCCCCTAACTCGAAGTTTTAATGGTGGATTGCTCTGCGTGTTTTTCATTTTACTTTTGCGTTCTGCACGTTTCATCCAGCTTACCCGTCTTGGTTAACAGGTAGGTCTGCATATTGTCCGCAAAACTTTGTTCTCAGATATCCTCAGCGTCTGTTCCTGTCCCGGAATGAAAGACCAAGTTTCATTCTCAAATAATGCAAGAAGTAAAATTATGGGTTTATGCATTTGAAATGATGAACGATTCACAACTAGATGACAGCTGCTGCTTTTCGAATTTAAGCTGTTCGAAATTTAAGTTTTGCCAATCGAGAACATTGTTACTAAAGAAAGAAGTCGAAAGACTGCAGGGTGGTGAAGTCGTACTTAACGTTCCTGACTGTAAATGTACTCCTATATACGGATTTTGGTGAAATTGGTCTAAGTGCACTATTCAAAATGAACAGAGGCACGAAATAGTGATCGCTGAACTGCCCATTCATTTTCCATGCGTTTCAATTAAAATTATCTTCTCTATTAATCTGTGAAGGAAAGCTGTGAGTTGACTGCCAAGCCCGGAGACCAGCACGCTGGAGCCACGAAGGATCCGACGTGTTGCTGGATCGGAAAACCGATAATGCATGTAGATTCGTATAATTTAAACGATGTCTTGGCAGCTTGAACGACTCTTCTTCACGAGTCTTATATAGATTGTTGCTGCCCTCTGTTTTACCGCCAGGTTGATTTGTTTTATTATACAGTTGTGTCCTACTCATAATATTTGATATAGCTTGTCGTAAATAACTGACAATTTTTGGTCACTTAAGGGCTCTTAATTACATTAAGATACAAAACTCCGATACCGAACCTGTTTCATATGAGACCCTTAGCTCCGTTTCATGAAAATTCATCGTGGCAAGAGCTATGGTATATAACCTTTCGGTTTAGATCGTGTCGCTTGCTTAATGGTGCCATCCATTGTGTGGCATGGGGATGCAGTGCCGTGCTAGGACCTGTATCTTATAGATGCTGTTATAATCTGCACCAGCTCCTCCTGCTTCCACTCTTTAGTAATATTCATTCTAAAAGTTTGTGACGAAGGGAGGGACTGGCTGTATCGATTGGCCTCTGCTTTTTACCTGAAGACGGAGACCGAATCCAGTCTCCGAAACATTGTGTTTTAAATAAAAACTGGATAGTGGATAATGTACAGAAAGACAGCAATTACATATTCATTCTGTTATATACTTCTGACGCGAGGCCTAGAATTCCAGCATAATTGAAACACACGGTAAGGTCCCTTCCATGCGGCAGGCATAACACCGAATGCCAGTCTCGAAAATATGGGTTTTCTTTTTCAGTTTAATAAGAATGAGCAGTGGAGGTACATGTTTACATAATTTGCCATTCTTCTACAAAAATGTTTCGTCTGTTTTCTGATTTCCGATATTAATATGCATCTGCTAAAGAACGCTCACTTTTGAAAATGAGAAGATTATTTACTACACATTTCATGCTACGCACGATATATATCGCTTAGAAGCAGAAAGAAAGAAAGAAAGAGTGACAGAAAGAATTCGGAAAATTATAAATCAGAATAACTGGCTGTAGGATTTGGTGCCAGGACCTTTCAGATGAAATTCCTTACTCAAAATGCGAAACTTTTTGTCCTTAATCCCACAAAAAGACACGTTTTTCGCCTGTACTACACTCTAACAGAAATGAATACCAGGAATCTTCCTGGAGGTAAAGGGCGGCCGGCGCGTAAGGCTAACCTCACCGCCGTCTGAGACCCGATTGTCTAGAAGATGTGGGAGCTTCGACATCTCAGAATCCTATGGGCCTCCAGAGCCTGTTACAGGGATTAAATGTGTCAATTGTCGGGGAAGAGTTTCAATATTTCTTCGTAATGAGCCGGTCTGAACGCTGTGAAGCAGAGAAAAATCTCTTATTCCTGCCGCGAACCAAACCCCGACCGTCCAACCCGTGGTCCATCCTTGTGCGGACTGATCTGTTGCTTTTATTATTCGCCCACGTGCATTCTGCAGAAATTCAGAATTTTCAAACCCTTTAACAACTGAATTTCTTCTAAATAATATAAAAATTCAGCTCGTACCTCACAGGAGACACGTTGCGTCTCCGCTACAAAGACAAACTGGTTAATGCTGTTAGGGCAACAGTAGCTACTTATTATTTGTTTATTTTAGTTATTTAATGACGCCATCATTATCGGGGCTATATAGCATTGATATAGGATGATAATGAGTATGGAGGAGTTGACGGAATGAGAATTGGTAGGGGAAACCGAAATGCTTGGAGAATACCTGCCCCAGCGCCACTTGACTGTCACAAATCCCACACGATGGAAGGATGGCTCTATGCACACCACCGTTATGCGTCGGGTTTAGAATGAGATCTTGGAGAAATGGGGTTTGAACGTGTGCACTGGATTCCTATGGTTCAGGATGGGGCCCAGTGGCGGTGTCTTTCAGTTTCAGCTAGGCGACTATCAGTTTCTCAAAAAGAAGTCTACTCCGTGGAGTTATGGTGTATTTTTAAATTTTCTTAGAGCATTTAGACTTAAGTTACGTGAATTTGTCCATGACCTAATGTTTGTAAATTACTGCATTTAATTCTCCTGTACCCAATATCGACTTGTTGTGGCTGAAGTTGCCTTATTACCGTGTCCTCTACAGAGCGAGCAGGACTCTGCGTCTCATTAAAGCATAGGCAAAAACAGCTGTCTTTTGTATTGTATTCATAGAAGAGATGCAGCTGCAGTTTTAGACGTTATGATATCGCCTTCACGTGATGGTGA